ATTTACAAAACAATTTGGCCAAATATAAAAGTGGGAAGCATGAAGTGGAATGTGGCGATAATCCTCCGATGGTAGCTAAAATTATTATTCTTATTTGTTTACACTAAGCTCATTAAAAGCGAACGAGATGCTGAATTTGTACGTTACAAAGAATGTTCCTCGGAAATATCTAAAGAGCTCCTACTGTCCATATAGACAGCTGCCAGCACTAGTAACACAAACTTACAACATAAATCAATGCATCGAAATGCAAAGATAGGCACACACACAAAATCAAGTCACATGCTGGGAATTTACCGTTGTGACTGTGAAAGGAAGTGTATACAGATATATCTCTCAATTGAATCAATCGAGGTTTAAGAGTATAAATATCTTTATGTGACTATTTACTATTCAAAAATGCAATTGAGCTCTGAATCATCGATGGATAAGGTAGTACTTAGTTAGTCTCCCATAAACGAGTATAATCATTCGTAATCTTAAACTGAGCGTGAAACAAACAAGTTTAAATATTCGAGATTCTGAATACAAGTAGCAAACAATTTGTGAGGTCGAGGCCCGTGGCTGATGTGCCTTATACCGTTCATAGCGTTTGTCGAAGGGAGCGTGGTGTAAAAATGTAAATCTCTCCGGGCCTGCCTTGAATGATTTAGATAAACCGCTTTGTCGATGCATCGAAATGTCCATTGCAGCAGTTAAACGCTCTGGAGCGTACAACGGCGTCGGACGCCACAGGCATTTGCTTTGACAACTAACTGGATGACTGCACAGATCCGCCAGCCAGCCATTCGAACACGTACCAGGGCATACAGACACAGGAGTACAGCCACAAATATGGCTGAAAATTCTAGCTGGCAGCTGGAGGACGAGTTACATTTGGCAGCCCGTCCAACAGTACTTGCCAGGGAGCACTTCAATACGATGTCAATAAATTATGTAGTGGATTTTCAGCGAGGCACACACATTAAAGCGAAACCTGTGCTCGTGTTCTCCTCATTGTTGTTGTTCTCGCTGTTGTTGTTGGTGTTTTACATATGCAACATAAGTCGCCTGATTTATGTTCGTTATATGAGGACGACTCAAAAGGGAATCAAATTCGAATGCTTGTGCCTTGGCAGCCTTGGTCCCAATAAATTATAGATGTCGAGCGACAAATGCAAAGAAATAAATGTAAAAAATCAAATCATATTTCTCCACATTAAAAACCCATACAACAATAACAAGAGCAATATTCCGGCCACACAGCACATTACAAGCCATAAAGAAGCGCATCAGCTTGCTGTCAGGGCCATCCAATATACTCCGACCAGGACCAGAGCAAATTCCTCGCCAAAATGCCAGCTTTTTTTTTATTGGCTGCGCTCAGCGCCTCAAAGGTGCACAAATTGTAGTGGGCTTTTAAGCGCCGACGCATTTCGTCGCAAAAAAAAGTAAAGAGAGAGAGGGAGAAAAAAATGCGAAAATGTAACTCAAAGCAAATTACGCTGACAAATGAAAATGTCACAATGATGATAATTTATTTTGCCTTTGTCAATGGCCCCTCGCACCAGCTGGCACACATTCCTCCGGCATTCTAGCTTTCATCTGAAATTGCCAGACCGTACATATGCCAGCTGCTGACTAGCAGCCACACTCTCGCCCTCCATCTCTCTCTCTCTCTCTCTCACTCTTTCTCTCGCTGATCGGGGCCATAAGCCCTGCGCAATTAAAACTAAGGTTGGGCAATTCCCAAACCAGAACATGTCCGCACTCCAAACGTGGCTATGCACTTCCTTCAAGCATTTTCGGTGGTTCGTGGAAATGTTTTGTATATGTTCTTCACAGCCGAATTTCTATATGAGGCGAATATATACATTGTTATTCTGAATAAACTTTATATATAGACTGAATCGTAATGTGGGCAATAGATAACAAAAAAGTACGCAAGCTCTAGTCAGGAGAGCTCGACTAGAAAATACCGGGAACCCCATTCAGTTTGCATACTACTTAGCTCGAGATTCGAGCATAGGTATGCATACTTATAAGCCCACGCAGTTACACGTGTAGACGCACATTTAAGAATCTAAAGGTGAAGACCTAATACACCAACCGGAGAACGTATGAGTAATGGCAAATTTATACAACATTAAACAGTTGCGATTGTATGTAATTTTATCAATTCAAGAAAAAATGAACGGATTTCAATGTATAATATTTTGAGGCTTAAACCTATGTTATCCATATTAACTTACTTTTTATATACATATTTATAATTATTTTTTATATACATATTTATTTATATTTGTAGTATGCAGGCATTATTTATTTATTCAAAGGCGGTCCAGTGGATGAAGTCTATTGAGTCTTAGTCTGTTATTACTAATTTTTTGTTTTGTATTAATTTACTTATATTATTTTGTTGTTGTTTTATAGCAAATGATAATTCCAATAAAATATTTGAGAGACTGAATACTAAATTATATCTTAAGCCTCTATATAACAAGAGCTCTGAGATTGACAGACAGTAAATCAACAGAGCTGTTGTTTCATTTTTTCTTTGCGGGACTACCCTTTATTTCTTATTTTTTTAACTGTAATATACGTTAATAATAGTTAAAAAATAAATAGGTTAAATTTGTTAAGTAAATAACTAATTATTTCGATTGAACAGGGTACTCCACTTTCGTCGTACTTTCCTGTATAGTATTATTTCGAGTTCCGTTTCTTTGTGCGTTCTGGCAAAAAAGTTTACGCTTCATATGCGCTGAGTGTTCCTGGCCGTGCCTGACGTTTTCCAGCCAATTCGCCTTGACGCGTCTTGGGCTATTAAACTTTTTGGCATGATATTGCCGTTATTTGGCTTGTGGAGCGAAGCCTGGCTCGGCACATAGCTGAATACAAATATATGTACTTACTTGTCATATAATAAACTTTTATGCTAACGGCTGCTGATGTCTTACCGGTAGGGCGCACACATGGCCTGGGTAGGAAAGCGGGGAGGCAGGAAGGCAGGAAAGCGGGATAGCGGGATAGCAGGAAACAATGGGGACAGGACAGCACTTTATGCGCATTCTGCACCGTCCTGGACTCCGGCATCCCGCTGAGTCCAGCCGAAAGTTTACATTCTCTTCGGCTGCTACTTTATTAGGCTGAAAAATGAAAACGCGTTCGCAACAGGACCTCGCCTCCTGTACCATTCCGTTGTCTATTATGTGCAGCCGTTAAGATATCTGTGTGCCAAATATTTGCATAAATCTTTTTCCACTGCGAGTCCCCGTGAGCTCCTTCCCAAGCTTACTTGTTCGCAGACCATATATTACCCCGGACGCAACGTGCATGTAATTTATTATAACTTTTCAGCCCGACGATTAGAGTGTCGGCGGAATTAAGAATGAAACGGCAGAGCGTATGCAGTATTTACCATTTTCATAATAACTAAAAACTTTATTTAAATATTTGCGGTTTTCATTATAAACGTAGTTAATCCTAATGCATGTTAACGCTCTGCTGGCGCTACTCACTTAAACATTAAAACAACTTTATAATCCATTATAATGCGTTCTCATTTTGTTTGTAACAAAATATCATCAACGTCATCATTATTTGCTTGTCTGACATTTTTATATTTGTATGCTCATAGTTTTATTTAGTGATTTTATGTTTATCGCTGTTCATATTATTATTATGTCTGATTATAATACTCGATATTACTCTTATACATACACATACAGGGCTTACATACGTACTACATAGATGTACTCTCTGCTCTTAGCTGCATATACTCATGTTTTGTTTTTGTTTGTTTTTGTTTATATATGTATGTATTCGGTTTCGGATTCGGTATTTGTTTTTGTTCTCGCTTTCGCGCTTATGTTTATAGCAACATTTGCATATACTCATTAAACATTCCTTTAAATGTCGCGACAATCTTCGCTGGCGCACATTTATAATTTTTAATTATTAATATTAATATTTATGACAGCAATTGGTTTTTCTTTTGGAAATGGTCACACGCACGACTACCACATCTAGTTGTATAAAGCAGCTTTAATTTATTCGAATACATACATGTCATATATGCGATTTTATTTACAATTTTCAACAGTTTACAGTTTAATGCCCGGCCATGCCCCGGCCATCGCATTTAATAGTCGACCGGCCATTAAAGCGGACAGTCGCATGCATTTTTAAATGGGAGACATTAAGTGGCGCAGGGGACCGCCGGGCAGGAGGCGGGCGAGGCTATCCTGGGAATAGGAGTACCTGGGCAACCATGTGCCATCGATCCAGGACTGAACGGAACAGAGCAGAACAGAGCAGAACAGAGCTAAACTGAACTGAAGTGAACTGAATGCCTGGGTGCTACTTGACTGAAACGAGCTGTTTGGCAAATATAAATGCAAATATTTTGTTGACAGCCATTGGCAAAGTGACTTGCAGCTTTCTGGGGAAATACGGCCGGACACGATGAAGTTGTGACTACAAATAAAGCAAACTGCAGACTTTCGGGACTGTGCGCACACACAGAAAACTTTGCGGAATACTCAAGACAGGCGCATGACATTTTGGAGGAAGGAGATAAGAGCTCCGTATCCTGCCGAAGGAACACAACATATGGCTGGAGAATGTTACCAAACTCTGCACAGACTCGGGCAATGTAAGAAGGGGGAGATAACTGATAGTTTAAGATGGAAGAGGCAAGCGAATAAATTTTGTGCTGACAAGCGAAGAGCCTTTCAAATGCAGCCCTGGTAATAGGAACATATAACAATATACTGGATGAATAAAACTGAATATTTAGCCTTGCAGCTGCACCTGATTAGGTACGGGCAGTAATAGTAATCGTAAGTATTTACATTGCTTATGAAATAGGTCTACAGATATATACAAGTGATTATCATGGAACATGCCCAAGCTACTGTCGATCGTAAGCTGCTTACAGAACTCAATATATACAACGAACACTAGCTTTAGTTGGCTTTCGAGTATTTACTTATTACTGACCAATTCTGAATCTGAACCCGAATGGTTACCTCTATTAGTGAGTAGCATATATGATTTACACATTATTTAAGTTTCTTCGATTACTTAACTTTCTTACATTATTCTACTAATGGGTCTAGTGCTGGCATATGGCGTTAGGTAAGAGTACTATGTACACAGCTGTACCCAGCTCCAGCTAGTCCCAGCCCACTAAATTATACACGCACCTACTTACAACTTAGAGAGTATTCGAGAAGCAGTCGCTGCAGCAGGCCGGAGCAGTCGTCGACGAATCGTATGCAGCGGCTCATCATTAGCGTAATTAGCTTACCTTTCTTGTTTTAGTATTTGGCATTACAGCTGCGGCCAGTGGCACCGGCGCAGCCTCTGCTGCACTGCGTCATCTGCAACGTTTGAGCGACAGCCAGGCCTCACATCTCGATTGCCCTCTAGTGGGCAGCCCACTTAGTTACGTACTGCTGCTTGGCTGGCGGCGCATTGGCGGTGGCGTTTCTGTGGCGCTTCTAACCGGGCAGCTTTAATTTATCACCGCGCAGTTGTTCTGCTCTTATTGACATGGTTGCCCGAGGTTGACGTCGTCCGCTGGCCAACATGGTCGCGGTTAGGGCAGCTGCTGTTGCAGTTGCAGTTGCTGTTGCTGTTGCTGTTCCTGTTCGTCTGCGCCGCTTGACTCTGCTCCGGTGGTGCTCTGTCTTCTTGTGCCTCGCGCCCACCTCTGCCGCCTCCTTGTCCCTGGAGCAGCAGCGTGCAGCAGGCCTCCAACAATACAAATGCCGCAACCATTGTGCTAATTACTTTGACTGCCTGCGTTGCCTGTTTCGTGTGGCCGGCCCAGGCCAAAGCGACGGCAGCTGGCGCCGCATTCGTTTGCATGGCTTCGGGTCGCTCGCCTGTGCGAAATGAGCAAACACAGAAGAAAAATTAATGCAGACATTGCATAAATGAGTTACAATTTGTTGGACCCTTTCACAGACCCCCATAGACCGCCGAGTGGAACCGAAATACTTATGCCTGTTGTGGTTAGCTCACTAAAATGTTTGTTCAAAAATGCATAAAGTTTCGCCGGCTACGACTTGCACAAGCAGTCATTGTTGTCGACTGAGTGCGTCCTCCATCCTTCAGAACATATATTAGATTATATACATATATGTATATGGTAAAAGGTCAAGTAGCTGCAAATGCTTTCAGCAATCGTCATACTTCAAAGCCCCTCAACTGCAGCTGCATGTAATGGGCTTCAGTTGAATTGAATTCCCCGACTTCTTGTTGCTTTGCTAACCGGTTCCATCCACTTATTTGGCATTTAAACTCGTTTAATGTACTTGCCCCATATGTGTTACCCACTGGCCCAGGCTCGCCCATGAAATTTCGCTTGTACTCACCCTGCAGCACGTGGACGCGTATGCTGGCAATTTCTGTGTTTGATGGATAGCAGGAGTATTTGCCAGAGTGCAATAAATCCGCATCGTAGATAAGCAAAATTGATTTGGTCTCCTCCGATTTAATGGTCTTAAATTTCAACCGGCCACCCGCAGTCTCCTCGCTGAGCACCTGTGTGTGTATGTGAGTATTAAAACATTTCCCTGAAAATTTTGCCTTGAAAAGAAATGTTTACAGGGGGACGGGCGGACGGGCGGACAGGCTGGCTGGCAGGCTGGCAACGAGCTAAATGCAAAAGCATGTTTTCTCATAATCATAAAAGCTAAAATTAAATACGTTACGTATACGCAGCGTAAACAAAAGCGCGAACGCAAGTCGCGCCCTGCGCTCGTAAAAGTTGAAACGTTTATCCAGCGGCAATTGGCTGGGCCTTGAGCTTAAGTATTGGTATGAGAAACAGTTTGAGTTTGAGTGCCCGAGTTTTCAGAGAGGGCAAAGTTCAATTATTCCACGATAATTTGATGCGCACACAGGAATTTTAAGTGTATCCTTAAAGCATTTTTGGTTTCGTCTTATGTTGAATATTCACAAATTGATTGCTTACCTTGTCCTGGTGATACCAGAAGATGTGTGTCGGTGGCTCCGGGCTGAACTTAATGATGCACGTTAGATTTATGGTGCTGCCCTTGTCCACATACAGATCGGGTCCGCCGAGAATCGTGGCCGTGGGCACTGCAAAAGAGTTAGCCAACAGGAATCGTCAGTCGCAGCAATGGGAAATCGAAGCGAATTGTGTAGCGCAGCTGAAACGGCAAATTACCGACAAAATATCGCAAGCTACGTGACCGTTTCCAATCAGTAATCTGCACAAACAACAGGGGAGGGGCGGGCGGAGTTTTAGGGAAAATATAGCTCAATAGCACCTGTCCCTGGTTGCCTTATCCCGGCTGAGCTGATGCCTCAGTGAACTAGTTAAATTGGCAGCTGGTCATTTCGAATGCCATCTGGCTGCTACAAAGAACTCTATTTGATGTCGCCCAACGTCATTGTCAAGCGTCCAGCCCGTGCTCTTTGTTGTGGATGCCACTTATGCAACCTGCCAGTGGTCTCCCATCCGTGGCAACCAGTGCACAGCTCGGCATGGCAATAAGAGACGTCTGCGAAATGCGCATTCCTCTCTGGGAAACACAGAAATGAGCAACAAGCGAATCGTGCGACAAAGCTACTCCCCACAAGGTAAACTCGGACTAATTGGTATTGAAGCTAAGAGTAGCAATAGATTCCAGACTCAGCAAGCAATCTCAGCAAAACGAATATGCTGTTTGGGGTGGATGACAATGACTCAGTTGCTTCTGTTTGTATTACATGAAAGCACTCATTGAGTTAGTTTATCGAAGCGCTTGGCACCTAATTGTTTACATTAATGTCAACAAAAATTTAACTAAACAATTTTGATAATCATATTTTATTTCTAATGAAAAACTGTGTACTACTCTCCTTTGAAAGTCATCTGATATTGCCTGAGCAGTGTTTAATTGTGTGAATCATCCTCTCAACCCAACCCGGACGGTAGCTCAATATAAACCACTGCCGCTCGTTAGCCGCCTTCAGTAGATCTCTGATCATAGAATGCAGCGAATGAATAAGCTTATACTCCTTTGGTTTGTTCTCTGCTGGAACGAGTGCCTGGCTATTGACTTTTGTAACATGACTGAGTGCAATGGATTGCGTCATTTGGGCTGTGAAAACGATTTGGTAAGACTGTCAATTATCTAAGTCTACTCTAATTGCCTTTAGACCTTCCATGAGAACTGCCTACGCACCCGCATCCTGCTCAACATGCAAATCTACAGGGAATATCTGCTCAAGATGCACAATAAGTACCGCGAAGAAGTGGCATCTGGAGTCATCAATGGGCTGCCCGAGGCTAGCCACATGCCGGAGCTGATTTGGCATTTTAAGCTGGCTCTGATTGCCGAGTACCATGTCAAGCGTTGCGAGCAGGACCTCAACTACTGCTTAGCCGTTTCTACGTTCACTGATCCCGCGCTGAACTATGGCATGAATTGGCTGGATATTCAGTCGATCCCCAACTACTCACGCTCGACGAACTCCGAGAAGCTGACTGTCCAGACGGAAATATGGATGCACCAGGTCTACAAGCTGGCACTAAGACAATACGAAGTGGGAGAAGTCTCGGAAATCAAGAACATCGTGAACGACCACAACAAATACGTGGGCTGTGCGGCCGCCGAGGACTTCAACCGGAAGGCCAGTCGGTTCGTGCTCGTCTGTTATTACAATAGCCAAATCGACCCAACGTCACACCTTTATACGGCGGGAACATTTTCGGCGGATCACTGTGCCGAGGGCGTCAGCGAAGACTATCCACACCTGTGCAAGACGTTGCCAGATGAATTCGACTGACATACACAGAGCCAGCTCAGCTAAGCAACGTACTATTTCAGGCCGAGATAGCTGCAGCACCACTGCTGGCTGTCTAATTAAATGGGACACGTACTTGAGAAATAAACAAATTTATGCCATAATATTTTGTACGAAAAATGTGTTAGGTAAAATGTGGAAAATAACAAACTGACAAAGTTAGTCGGAGAAAGTATTTTCCAAAGCAATTTGTTCGCTAGGAGCCAGAAAAACGTTGCACCAGGCACAAGCGCTTAACTCGCCTCCACAGCACTTCTACTTCCACCCGACTGGAGGACTTGGCTCAAAAGTGCACATAACTGGCACGAAATATGTTTGAAAAAAAAAAAAAAAAATAAAATAAAATAATAATAAAAACGAGCGAGAACCTTCGTGTGGGGAGTACCCGACTAGGACATACCCTAACCACAGGCCAAGAATACACAAGCCAAGCCAAATGTTTTTACGAACCGTTACGAGTTCGAGTAGCCAGAATCAATTAGATGTGACTCACTGTAAGTAATCAGATTTTAAATTCGTCAGCATTCCTACCTGCCTCTACTATTCCCCTTTCTTTTCATGGAATGTTTAGTTAGAAAGTACAAATAAAGAACAAAAGATAGCAGCTGAAAATTCCAAATTTAGTTCGATTGCAGTAGTTATCGGACTTAGAGGGACGGACTACACTTTGTGTGTTTCGCCACTAGTCGATATACCTGCCGAACTCCAAGTTTCAATGGGTTCAGGGTATACGAATACTATATGCACACGCTTGTCAGCTTCTCGCTTTTCAGTTACCCCATCTGTCTGCGGCAACAGTTAACTAACGCATGTTCCCGCTACACATAAGCTTGTCAGGCAGCTGTCCTTGAGAGTTTGCACTGCTTATGTCGTATTTCTTTACAAACCCGCAACTGTCTGAATGGGGCCAAACATGCCCGCAAACTCGTCATCGCTGGACTGATAGACCCGATCCGCGGCTATGTAGAAGGCATCGTCGTTGTAATATTGCTGCATCACACTGCTAGTCTCCTCGTCAATTAGGTCTTGTTGTCGAGGAAAACAATCAAAGCAATGAAAATATGTGAAAGAAAATAAATAAATGAATAAGTAATTAAATTATATTAACTATTAAATTAAAAAGAAATAATATCAAGAATATTATAAATAATAATAAGTAAAATTATTAAAAATATAAAAATTCTAAATAGTTTATTAATTTTGTTGTGGTCTTCTAATATATTTCCGAGCCGTAAAAATCATATAATAAATAACATAATTAATAAAAAATATAACGACGATAATACTCAAATTAAAAATACAAATAATAATAATAATCATAATAAAATAAAATCATTTTTGTTGGTGCATCATATTCTAATTTTTTCATTTTATGCCATATACAATATACAATATTATCATATGAATCAATATTATCAACTGAATATATACAACTGAAAATAAAATTCAGAAGCTGCACAAACAACAAAAATTAAACACAAATTAATTTAATTGAAAGTCATTTGACTTTCATGTTGAATGAAATGAAAACATACGATTCAATATCTAGCTTTTCCTCACTTTTTTTATGCCCAACTCTCCTGAAAACTTTTCACATATATTTGGGAAATTCGAGCCACATTCGAGCCATCTCTGCTTTCGATCGGCTCTTGCAGCTGTTGTTGTTATTCGTACACGTTTTTATATGAGTATATTGGATGAGCAACTCAACATCGTTGACTAACTGACTGAGTGTCCCAACAAGTTAAATACTCTCGTCTTAGTCAGTGTCTAACGTAGTATAGAGAACTTAAAATCGAATTCTATATTCTATCAATGTTTCATCGATTAATGTATATGTTGCGCTATACAATTTTATAGAAAAATCTTAGCAAGCTTGCTTACTTAAATAGAGTATTGAGCAGTCAGTTACTTACAGCTTTAATAATGTTACTTGTTTTTATTATTTCTGTATATTTTTGTAGCGATATTGCCAAGTGTGCATAATTTACACTTTTGTAAATTGCATGAATATGCAAATAAGAAAAAATGTGAATACCCATACCATCGTTTGTTTTTTTTTTTTTTACGTGTCGAAATATTACGTATACGCTGGGAGAAGTAACCGAAGCTGAAATATGCAAAAGCCCAGCGGCTAAAGCTTCGTCAGCTGCACGGATATATAAACGTTTGCCATTATGTATGTAGGAGTATATACGTATGTGTTTGTGCGTGTGTGTGTGCGTGTGTATAGAGTACACATCGCTTGACACAGTTTTTGGTTTGAACTCACCCACAATGTTCAAGTTGACCGAATAGCTGCGCACCGGCTGCGTCGATATTTGACATTCGTAGACGCCAGCATCGCGCTGCTGGGCCCATTTGATTTGCAATGTCCATTCGTCAATATCGCGATGATAGGAGGTCTGAAAACGCTGATCCGTGGTGTAGGTGTAGGTGCCCACGGTGAGTATATGCAGATCCCGATGACGTATCCAAGCGACCTGTCAAGGTTGTGTCAATAATCTATCAGTATCAGTAATTGATGGATTTGTTGCGCCTTCAACTCGAATAGAACGAGGCGAGTTGAATTAGCTTTTTATATAACTGTTAGCAATGCCTGGCTTATGAGGAATCATATGCATACTCGATTTTAAATCTGTTCATATAATGAGAGGATTCTTTTTGATATACAGTTAAACGCTCTAATAATAATTCTTAATATGTGAGTCGTTCTATCCGTATCTGATCTGTCATCAAAGTCAAATTTTTATCTGCATTCCAAGAACTCACAGCTCCCAGCTCTGTCTGTTTTACCATAAGTCCTAAGCCATCCATTATTCAATTAATAAGTTGTGTTCTCTTTATAATTAATTAAACAGTAATTCTTTGTGCAAATGCGCCCGAACATAGCTGTTGCTATCCTGCACATAATTTAATATAAACGACTTTCTCAAACTTCTTCTAGCTACAGACTATTTAAAGAGGCATAAAATGCGAAAATTTAAATATATTTAAGCGTTTTGCTTCTTTATTTTGCGGTGTTTGTGCTTCCCACGCTGATTTGCATTTTGATTGGGCCAAGACGAAACTTGTGTCAATTTGCTGGCCCCAGCACAGGCCGAAAATTTGTGCAGCTCGCAATCTAAATATTAAATAACTAAAAATTAGTGTGCACCACGCATGGCAGCCCCGACAAATGATACTTCCGTGCTCTTAGCCTCGACATTCCTTTTCCGCATTGGCCACTACATTTTGTAAATTTTTGATGTAAAATTTTTCGTTTTTTTTATATATATTCGAGCTGCCACTGTTTTGGCAAGTTTTTGGGTGCCTTTTTATGCGGTGGCCAACTGCTACACACATACACACAAACACACATGCGGACGCTGGCAGACATGGCAGCAGACGGACGGAACGGCGGGTATATACACAGACAGACACTGCGTCAGAGTCAGCCAACTGTGCCAGGCATCCATCTGTGCAGTTCCAGTTGCCGTCTGTCTAATTCGGCAATAACAGTCCAGGCCTGCAAAACGGAAAAAAACTTGTTTCCGTCAGAGTTTTTGCCGCACTGGCAACATAAATTTACCGTTGGCCAGAAACGAGCCGCCAGTTAACTAGAGAAACTCGCACCGAAAATTCCCCGCAACCTCTCTCACTTACTCTCTTTCTATCTCTCTGTCCGTCTGTCTGCTTGTGTGTGTGTGTGTGTGTGTAGTTTACTGATTGCGGAAGCGGATTTGGTTATGTGGAAATCTATAGACCCCATTCTGGGTGCCAAAACCGACGCTAAATCGCTTAACGTAATCAACGCTGGAGCATTTATAACTTCTGGGCCCAAACGAGGAGCACCTGCAAAGTTTCTCACGATTGCATGTGGATGTGTGAATATCCGCAATGCTGAAGTGCGAATGCGAACTATTCGGCCTATTCGTGTTTTGGGGTCTCTTTAATTGTTAAATCTCATCGTAAATTACGTTTAATGCTTCTCCGCAGCAGATTGTGCTGCAGTGACAACGGCTACAAAACATTGGACTGAACTTGGCCCAGGTCTGGGTTGATGGACTGGCGGAGTTTACGGCCGACGGCTGCCGTATTGCAGTTATGGCAACCCATTTAAATGGTTTGCTGAAATTCAATACTTTGTTAAGCAATTTTGCACGAGGCAGAAGTCTAAGTGCTGCAGCTGCTCGAGGCGGGCCGAGGCAAAGCTTTGAAAACGAGATGTTAATTGCCTGAAACAGAAACAGAATCAGAAACAGAAGCCGAATATAATCCAGGCCAGGAGCCAGGCATGGCTCATATGGCAAGCAAATGGTCAAAGTTTTTTCAGGCCATGGGAAATCAAGTGACGCCATAAAAATAATGACAATATCTGGGCGGGGCACACGGACAACATGTGTTGGCTTGTGCTCTCCAGGCTAAGCTTCGGTTCATTGTTTCAACGTCACGTAGTACATAATAAACGGACAGTAAATTTAATAAGCGTCTGTTATTATGGCACACACACACTAGCACACCAGCGCACCCGCACGCACACTACAGCACATGCTGCCTCTACCAATATCGTATCGTATGGCGACTATCTGAGATGGCCGGCATATTGCCAACACTTGTCGCTACATTTTTGTTTATTAAATGTAAATAAAAATAAACATTATTAAAACAGACGCCCCCGCCGCAGCAGGCGAGCTGTTGTTTTGGCTACCCAATCTGGTTTCGTATAATTTTTGTACCAAAATACATACATAAATGTATATCTGTTTGTGTGGGTGTATTTCTTTTTCATTCGACGTTATCTGAGTGGGACAGGCCCGTTCTTGCGGCCAGTGCTTATTGCACAGCAAGATTGCCATCTCATGATTTGTATTTATGCTTATCTGTGGCTTTCCACGACCGTCCTGCCGTACTCACCGTCTTGTTGCCCAGATGCTTGACCCGGCAGCCCAGATATGCGGACTTGCCCACCAGCGATGTGATATTCCTTGGCATTGTCAAATCGAAATACGGCTCATTCCATTTGTGGCCATGCGGATAGTGTAATGGCGGCAGATGTGTTGGTTTTGCATCTACATTGTTGTGATTGTTGTTGTTGCTCACAGACTGCCGCTGGTAGCCCAATGTTAGCCCTGCGAAACAGAAGCAAAAAAGGTCACAAATCAAAATACGCATTATGTACTCGTATTTATATGTACATTCATTATAGTGAAATGTATTTCTTCATGCGGAATTTGGCATTGCTGTCCGTCAGTGCTGTGAAACGAGCTACTTAACCTCGATGTTTGTGTTACTTGTATTATTAGTTTGTAATACCAGCTAAGCCACCTGAAGGACCACGCCCCAGCTGGCCGTGGATATTGGGCCGTGCCGGAAACAGGAAACGGCTTAACCGAAAATCCAACTTAATTCACACTAATTGCAGTCGCACTGATGGAATGACACACAACTCTATCACCTGCATCCACGCACACCCACTCATCCACCCACACACACATAGTTATACACTGCTGATGTGTGTTGGTGTGCGTCTTGTGTAACTAAAACTTAAATTGCGCAAATGACAAACTCATTGTGCCCGGGCTCAAGTGTCGGTGGCAGCTGCATGAGCCTCGCTGGCTCGTCAAGTGCGACTCTTGCGGAGGACCAGTTGTTGTTGTTGTAGTTGTTGTTGCTGTTGCTAGTGCTGGCTGTTGTGCATTTCAGTTATGGGCCGCTGGCAGGGGCTAATTTTCTAATTACCCGACGCGTCGACTTTCTATGACTCCGCCAACACTCGCGAAATGAGAACGCAATGCTTTTTATGAGGCACCGAGAGGCCTGACTATGAAGTGCTCTGATGTTTATACGAGGCCTGCAAAATATGGTTACTTTTGCAGTTGTAATTGATCGAATTGAAGATGCCCTTTGATCTAGGTTTCATATGTATAACAAATAACCGACTATGCTAAACATAAGAAACAAAACTAACTATGTATGTACATTGAAGACTTTTTAATATACCAGGCAGTGCATTTCTAGTGCTTTCAAAATAATTTTGTATAATCTAAAAAAATATTTTAGTCAGAGAATGCTGAGAAGTTTCTTAATTGCTCACTTTTATATATATATCTATCCAATTTGGCACATATATACGCCCTCAATGTATATACCCCCTTTTACGAAATTTTGGTGGACAGAGGGTATTAAGAGGAAATGGCAACAAAAAGCTCTAAACAGCAAATTTTCGCCAAAAGGCACAGAATGGCAACAAAAATAGAAAAAGGAAAAAAGCTAGCTGCCTATTTGGGAGGCTCGTAAAAATGCCCATGTCAAATTGAGAGGCGTCGTAAAAAAGCTGAAACAGTGTAAAAGTTTTTTAGAGCTGAAATAATGTTAGCAACAATCAGAACGTCAACAACAACCAGCATAACAAATGAATACAAGTTTTGAGTATTTTCTGAAAAGAGTTGACAATTGAAAGTCAACAAACTGCAAAAAGAGCTGCAAAGGAAAGGCGAATTTAACACAATTGCTGGAAATGTCTGCTGGCCAGCTATTATATATATATTCGTGTATTTAAGCTATTTAAAGGTTTTCCATCAACTCAATCGGCAACCGGGAAATTGCATTTATTTGCCAGCCAGCTCCACAGCTCGAGCGGCTTAAATCGTTGTATATCTGTGGTCCAATGCCAATCAAATTTGTGCTACTTGCCTGCACCAACTGTTTTGTTTACTCATGCAGCCAAGTGTCGCTTAGCCAACGAACCAGAGGCAAATTGTCGTTGCTGCTAGTAAATTCCATGAAACTTTAAGAGAGCCGGCCCGAAGCACTACAACCGCCTTTGACAGGATTAAAATGTGCTGGCGACCCAGACGAGTGTGCAGCAGGAGTGGGCAGGCAAACACTGCAACGAAGTGAATGCAAATAGCAGCGCTCGAGTGGATTGTCGGGCATATGCATATTGCTTTCATAAAAGCAGGAGCCAGAGCGCCTACGACCCCTGCAACGCAAATTGAAATGCACTCACAGCAGCCCACGGCGAGGCAATGCCAACTTGGCCAATGGCTATGCTCAGTCCTTGCTTGGGAGGTGAAAGGTGCTGAATATAAGGCTGGAGGTAAGTGTGCGGAATAACTGGGGAATAAGACGCAACAAGAGTATTTTTGGATAACACTGAAAGGTTGAAATAATTACTAAAATACTCTATTTACATTGTATGTAGACTTGGTTCGAGCTCAAATGTGTGCTGCGTAAATATTGCGTATACGACACAACGCACGCAAGCGAAGGGAACGGAAATGACAGCCATAACTATTCCTGATTGATTTGATTTCTGACAGAGAGAAAGAGAGGGAGGAGAGAGAGAGAGAGAGAGAGAGAGAGAACGAAAGCGTGGTGTGGTCATTGACGCACAAAACACGGGCAATCATAACAGAACAGAGAGCCGAACACATTGCTCATTTGCATACGCCGTGTTGTGAACCTGGTGGCTGAGCCCTCGACCCTGTGACTCCTAATGAATTATTGGCTTACGGCTAGGGGACTCATTTTACGGAAAATTAGCCAGGGCATCCGTTGCAGACGTCTGACGACAAAACGATTCGCAAATGCTGCAAGATGCACACGTTTTCAACAGGACTTGGGGCTGCACTCCCACTCACACTCACACACACACACATACATACAGACATAATCACATGCCCTGAACTGCGCACAAAGCGCACGCAAAGCAACAATGGCCATAAAACGCTTAGTGCAATGGGTATATGTATGTATGTGTGAATGCCAGCGGAGTATCTAAACGGCTGTCTGTTTAATGCTCTTCAATATGTATAAAGCAAGATGGTAAGCCAGCTTTAACTGAAATGAAACACGCAAAAAGCAAACGGAACAAGTGAGCGAAAGCCATGTAAAAATATTAAGATTTATTGAAAAGAAATGTAAATTTTCTTGAAATTTTATTTGATTTTATTCTATTGCAGTTTGTATCATACCCGAAGCCATATAACTATGTCTATTTGAAACTAGATATTTTGAAATTTTCAAGTGTGCTTACTTCTTACATATCAATGGGAGATAGAGAGAGAGAGAGAGACAGAGACACCCATAGGAAAAGAGGGATATGAGTAAAAGATAAAAAGTTGGTTCAAGGCTCCATTGAATATTGCTCATAGTTAAGACTAATATTGATATTCTACTTATATTGAAGTTTAGCAAAGCTGGCCAAATTCTTCTTAACATATATATATATATATATATATATATATATATATATATGTCGAAGCACTAGTATTCTTGTTGAAGCACTAGTATTCTCTTGATTAATCTCCATTGTGCAGCGAGTTCCGGCGGCGGACAAGTTCTAAACGTAACTGAC